GCATGTACAGCACAGCTTTCTTTCTGTAGAACCAAACTTTTGTGGTAGAAAAGATATGTAGTTGTACTTTGCATGCATTTGTGGTCTTCATACCACATTGGTGCTTTAGTGGCCTGCTAAAATTTAATTTTGTTTGATAATTTCTGTAGCCACCTTCAGTGACCTCATTCAGAATATGGGCAAGAAACGGCTGTCGGTTCCTGACACTGTCTTTTATAACGTAGAAAGTGAAGAAGAGACAACTGAAAAGGTAACATACATGAAACGTTTTGTTTTCTTGAAATCGTCCGTGACCTGCATCAGGCACCTGAGAAAGAAGTGACTACTGCATTTTCAAATATAGGTGCTAATACTATGCTGCCAGATTTGGTACTTATAGCACTTATAACTGTATTGAAATGGCATATTTCTAAATTTCATGAAGCTGCAAAACAAGGACGAGATGTTCCCCCGTGACTGTGTTTGGCAGTTTTATAACAATGGAAGTTGCTCAGAAGTTCTTTGAAAGGACAAAAGTCTTGGAGAGCTCTTCTTACGGGGCACTATGTGTAGATAATGCAGCTAGTGTACACTGAGCATCAATTTTGAAGTGGTGATCAAAATACAGCTTCTTGAATAATCGCCCTCCCAGTGGACAATTCCCATTTCGCGGTTTTATATCGAGCAACAGTCTTCTGATGTGTACGGGACACAGGAGATGCAAAGTCAGGGTTGCAGCACTCTTACAACCGATAGGTGGCAAAACATTCTGAGAAACTCTCCCATTGCTTTCGCAACAGTTGAGAAGGCCTTAAGGAAAGGAGCATGCATGTGCAGTCTGTTGTGGCCATTGTCTGACAAAGACGGGAGGGTTGTCCTTACAGGGTAATAGGACAAAAAGTGCTGTAGAATACTGGTTATAACTTGATTAGTTATGAAAAAAGTCAATGATAACTGGTAATCAATGACAAGTAAACCTAATTGAGTTACCCAGAATGTTAGTTTTGGAAAAGTAATTGATTACTTGAAACTCGTGTATAAATCTGATCAGTGTACACTAAGCCTAGGTAGGCATAATATGGCTGCTTGTTACACAAATGGTAACTTTGCCTTGCACAGAGTGACATTAGAGAGAATAGCAGGCACAGAGCAGCAACTTCCAGCATTTTGGTTACAATTTACATAGTGACCTATGTTAAATTTCACAGATATGCATTTGTCAGCTTTTTAGATGACATTGGTGTTAGTGTTGTTGCTTTGATCCTATTATGTGGCAAAAGTTGGTATGGCAGTAGTTGTTTTTGTTGCAGTCATGGTAACTATGTGTTTATTGATGTTGTGATGCAGCTAAGAATTTTTCTAGACAATTTAGCGCAAGTCGGGGTGTGTGGAAATTGCACTGTTTGAAATCGAATATCACTGCAACTGTGGTGGCTGTGGTGGTTATCGGGACGCCTTGCAATGTGAGAGATGTTATACCCTTGTCACATGGCAAATTAAATGCCATTCAAACAAATTACATTAAGCGGACCTAATTTCATTTTACCTGCGTGCTGTCCCATGACAAAAACAAATGTCATTTTGAAATGATGACCATGACCTCAGCCCTCCTGACCCATGGCTTTGGGAAAAATAAACATATAATAAAACTTGTATGTAACATGCGTGTATGCACAAAAATAATTTTTATGGGTGGAAAGGTGCACCTATAATAAAAAAAGTGGCAGTTTTAAATAAAAACTTGCCACAGCTGCACGACACACTCGAATACCGTTGGCCGATGGTATGACCGGGCATGAGTACAGTCAACTGAAGCAAGGTGCACAACCTACTCCCCCGCTGCAGAAATGAGACGGCAGCAACGATTTCGTGTAGTCACCACCTTGGTCACCACATGATTAATATCCACAATACAGGCAATAATGACAACAGGGCACAAACGAAATATGCCCTGCGTTCTGCTGCTGTCATGGAGAGTAGCTTCTTTTTAACGCTATGGCATTAGAGAGCTCGATTTGCAGAAATTCCGGCGTAGGCATCATTGGTTGTGAGCGAAAAATCATCTTATGCGCTACTGAAAAACTGAGAATGATGCAAATAAAATAAACAATAAAAATTCTTGAGACGCAGTTCGTTCGCATGGCAAGCGGATGTTCTACCACATGGCCACGCATCTGTTTGGAAATACAATGAATGAACTTCCTCTGCTTGGAAATGCAGTAAAATTACCTTTCATACTTAATAAACACACACATCCTGTATACATGCTTTACAATGCAACATGAAATATTGCAGTAATAATGCGTGGTACAACCTGCCATTTCTAGCGGGCGTCATAACATGTCATTATCATAATGGCTTGGAGGTTTAAAACTGGTCACCCACTACCAAAGGCACATGCGCTACTGTACCTATTCCCTTAAGGCCACGTAGTGGGTGCGTGAGAAGTTCGAAAAGGTTTCATGCACCAAGTGTTCGATGCACATAGTAGCAACAGAATATTCTATCACCTTCAACTCCTAAAAACAAAGCTTTAGGGTCCCTTAATTTGTATTTTTTTTTAACTTTTGCACCTGCTATCATGTCATCAAACCAGTAATAAGTTGAGCTAGTAAGGAACAAGATCTTCATAAATTATAAAATGTATATATACTGAAGTTATAGCCATTTCCCTAAAAGTCCCTGACATTGAGACTGCTCAGTCAGAAATCGAATGCGATTGTGTTGCAGGAACTCGTTCCACAGAAAAGGTCGTTTTCATCAAATGGCATTAGTTTCCCCGTGTGACAGCAAAGAAAGGACATTGCAAACGAAGGATATTAGATTTGCTGTGTGACAGGGTGTTAGAATGCTCACTAGTCATGGCTGGAATATGCTACATATAATTTTAACATATGGTGTAGTAGCGCAAATTTGATGGGGACACTGAGGACAAGAAAACACTGCACTCACTAGTCTCACAAACAGTGGCGTGTTTTCTTGTCCTGAGGTCCTCGTCGAGGTTGCGCTACTATACCATATGTTGAAATGATATCTCACAAACTAGCCCAGCTTTCAACCGTACTGAACTTCATATGCTAGGTAGTTGCTACAACCTGAATTATGTTTGTATCAATGGAGCGTGTATGTTTCCTGGCATATTGCTCGTTTTCGGCTTCTAATCAGTGATGTTGACTTTGGGCTGATGTGTTTATTTGCTAGCATTCAAAAAAGAAAAAAGAAAAAAATCAGCAACCAAGAATAAAGAGGCGCCGAAGCAGTGCGAGCTCCGAAGAAGAGCTTGTCCAACTGAGTCGGCTCGAAAAAGAGAGAAACATTACGAGGCAGCTCAAGAAAAAAAACAAAAGACTAGAGGAAAGAATAGAAATACTTGAGAAAAGAAATGACAAGCTGCAAGACATGCTGCAAAACGAACTCAGTAAGTTATATTTATTCCATGCTGCCTTTTAGATTTTTTTAAAAAACTTTTCATGCAGTCAGTGAGTGCTGTGGTTATGTGTACCCTAACACATTTACTTTGGCATCTTCATGTTATTTCGATGCTTTTTGTTCCACAATATGGATGTAGTACCTGAAATAGCCCTTTGGATTAATGTTGTACAGTCGACATCCGATTTCGCGGACACTCAAGGGATTGCGAAAGGTCCGGAAAATCAGGCAGTCAGGAAAAACGAATGCAAGTAAAAATACACTTTTTGAATAGGTATTTTTCACTGACGGAAAAGGTCACGGCAGGAGTACAGGATTCTCGTTGCGATTCAGCAAGTGCATCATTTAGGTGGCCCCGAAAAGAGCCGTTTGTAATAAAAAAAGCGAAAAGAAAAAATTTGATGTGACCGACGCTACTGCATTTGTAAAAATTAAGTGCTAAAAGGACTCTCTTATTTTCGTTTGCACGGAGTTCCACTTGCGCCGATTATGTTTGCCTCAATATCAGCTGATGTCATGCTGTCACTGTATACCTATGACGATGTCATGTTCGCGTCAACACCGAACTTGTTGCCCGTGTAGGCTCTGCCTCTTTGATCTATGTTTCGGAGTTGTCGAAACCTTTAGTAACTTGAATGATTTCATCACCGGTAAATTCCGCACACAGCTCAAGATTTTCGCTAGCGTCGGCAAAGCCCTCCAAGGTTATCCCGGCTGAAATCGAAACACCAGCACCGTGTGGGTCGTTGAAGCAACGACCGCATTTGGAAGTTCTTTACACACGCTGCCCTCTCTAGGTGAGACTGCCGTCTCGGCGTACATTTTAAAGCTGGCGTGGCAAAAACAGTTCCTGGGAGTCTGTTGCGTTACCGCCTTCTATGAGTCGGGAAGCATGCCGACGGCAGACTATAGGTCAACAGCGTAGCTTTCCCGCCGGATCAGAGCCTTATTGTAAGATTAGTAACAGCACCATGCAGTTGTGGCCACAGGTTTGTCTAAGCCACGGCTGGCTACAAATTGGCGTGCGCTGGATTCCGGCATTTGCGGTGTGACAGGGTGTTAGAATGCTCACTAGTCATGGCTGGAATATGCTACATATAATTTTAACATATGGTGTAGTAGCGCAAATTTGATGGGGACACTGAGGACAAGACAAAACACTGCACTCCACTAGTCCACAAACAGTGGCGTGTTTCTTGTCCTGAGGTCCTCGTCGAGGTTGCGCTACATATACCATATGTTGAATGAGATCTCACCAACTAGCCCAGCTTTCAACCCTACTGAACTTCATATGCTAGGTAGTTGCTACAACCTGAATTTGTGGTTGTATCAATGAAGCCGTGTATGTTTCCTGGCATATTTGCTCTTTTTCGGCTTCTAATCAGTGATGTTGGCTTTGGGTGATGTGTTTATTTGCTAGCATTCAAAAAAGAAAAAAAGAAAAAATCAGCAACCAAGATAAAGAGGCGCCGAAGCAGTGCGAGCTCCGAAGAAGAGCTTGTCCAACTGAGTCGGCTCGAAAAGAGAGGAACATTACGAGGCAGCTCAAGAAAAAAACAAAAGACTAGAGAAAGAATCGAAATACTGAGAAAGAAATGACAAGCTGCAAGACATGCTGCAAAACGAACTCAGTAAGTTATATTTATTCCATGCTGCCTTTTAGAATTTTTTTAAAAAAATTTTTCATGCAGTCAGTGAGTGCTGTGGTTATGTGTACCCTAACACAATTTCTTGGCATCTTCATGTTATTTTGATGCTTTTTGTTCCACAATATGGATGTAGTACCTGAAATTGCCCTTTGGATTAATGTTGTACAGTCGACATCCGATTTTGCGGACACTCAAGGGATTGCGAAAGGTCCGGAAAATCAGGCAGTCTGGAAAAACGAATGCAAGTAAAAATACACTTTTTGAATAGGTATTTTTCACTGACGGAAAAGGTCACGGCAGGAGTACAGGATTCTCGTAGCAATTCGGCAAGTGCATCATTTAGGTGGCCCCGAAAAGAGCCGTTTGTAATAAAAAAAGCGAAAAGAAAAAAGTTGATGTGACCGACGCTATTGCATTTGTAAAAATTAAGTGCTAAAAGGACTCTCTTATTTTCGTTTGCACGGAGTTCCACTTGCCCCGATTATGTTTGCCTCAATATCAGCTGATGTCATGCTGTCACTGTACACCTATGACGATGTAATGTTCGCGTCAACACCGAACTTGTTGCCCGTGTAGGCTCTGCCTCTTTGATCTATGTTTCGGAGTTGTCGAAACCTTTAGTAACTTGAATGATTTCATCACCGGTAAATTCCGCACACAGCTCAAGATTTTCGCTAGCGTCGGCAAAGCCCTCCAAGGTTATCCCGGCTGAAATCGAAACACCAGCACCGTGTGGGTCGTTGAAACAACGACCGCAGTTGAAAGTTCTTTACACACTCTGACCTCTCTAGGTGAGACTGCCGTCTCGGCGTACATTTTAAAGCTGGCGTGGCAAAAACAGTTCCTGGGAGTCTGTGGCGTTACCGCCTCTATGAGTCGGGAAGCATGCCGACGGCAGACTATAGGTCAACAGCGTAGCTTTCCCGCCGGATCACAGCCTTATAGTAACATTAGTAACAGCACCATGCAGTTGTGGCCACAGGTTTGTCTAAGCCACGGCTGGCTACAAATTGGCGTGCGCTGGATTCCGGCATTTGCGGTGTCAAGGGTACGGCAGCCACGTCACAGTGGGTTCGAGGGTACGAAAAGAACCAAAATAGTGGTGCTGATTGTGACTTCAATTCCGCTGTTAGCAGTAAAAAGTTAGCAGGAAAATCGGACGGTGAAAGCTATAAATGTCCGAAATTTTGGACTTTTTAATACATGACTGTATGGGGAACTTGATGGTGCCACAGATCAGTCCGGGAAATCAGGCATGTCCAGGATTTCGGTAGTCCGAGAAATCGGACGTTAACTGTATGATCAGAGTTAAGAAAATCAAAACAATGCAGCCCTTTATAGAATCAGATTTGTGTGAGAGAGTGGCCACTTAGTATGGAAACAGCTGTGATAGTTGCTGAATGGTGTTTCCTTCTGCGACAGTGCAGTGGTTACAGCAGCACTAGCAGGAAACAGCAGCCAGCAAAGCATATGTTCTGTATGAATGGACTCCGCTCCTCCTACCCTTTTTCACCAAACTCTAGACGGCTCCAGCAAGGTAACAGAAAAAATTGTGGCTTCAGGCACGATGCCATCAGACACCACCCATCAAAGTGCATTCTTTCTCATTATATTCATATGTACCTGGGGAAGGGGGGGTTCAGGCGGCTTAGCAGAGGAGGAGCATAGAACGTCACGACCCACCCTGCTGGAACTATTAGTTTTCTTCAAAATAATTCTGTAACAAAAATGAATCTCTGTAGTAGGAATCGACCATTAGAGAGGACTGCCTTTGAAAACTATAAGGAACAGTTTGAATTGTCTGACACTTAGAGGAGTTGTTAGTGTACAACTGTCTCAAGAGCAGGGCTGGGCAGTATCACGATAGTATTTCAGAGATACTTTTGAGTGTCTGTATTGCTGTATCGAGATACTTCTTAAAAATGTATTTGTATCTCAGTAGTGAAATACTTTAACGATGTATCGCCCGTATCGCAATACTATAAGGGCATGGGTATGTCGTTACTTTTTTTTTCGGAAACGAGCTGAGACGTGTTTACAAAGGCAAAAAAAACCGTGCTGTGATCTTAGCATTGAGTGGCGAGATATGCACCCACCATTTCTACATTTATTCTCAGGGGGTAACTGACTCCTACCTTCTTGATAGTGAGCTAGTTGCTTTTGTACCCGCATTTCATTGTGCACGCAGAACTAGAATGTGTTTGAATAATCACCTGCTTGGGAGCTTGCCAATAATATTATGCTGCCATTTTGAATTCCAGCCATGAGGAGCATTGAATATGGCACATTGGGCGCCAACCAACAGCGTCGTTTTTAAAATGTGTTCCCTCATGCCAATTTAACGAGCAGTGCTTCTTTTTTCTCGTTTTTTTCTTGTTTTTTTGCGGCATCTATTTGAAAAAGCGGAACTTATCGAGGAAGCCACAAACCACCCAAAAAATGTGGTGCGTGGTGCCGTGTGCCATCAACGATGCTTCTTTCTCCAAAGCATTTCTGGAAGACAGCAAGTGCGGCCACACGCTTGCTAGTCCTAGTCAAATGTGACCAGCGCAGTTTGAAGTTTCCCGTCTACAGAAAAAAACACACAACATCAGGTACCGGCATTGACTTGGTGCAACTGACAAACCAGAACATATCGGTGGTTGTCTCACTTGTCGCTAGAACCAATAGCATCTGCACAATGCAGACTAGCAGGGCATGCTGACCTACAGCAAGTGCACAGAGATCTCTTAGCATCCGGCTACTCGAACTCTGGTTAAACGCCAGCTCTTTCAGCCGCAAAGATCTGATCTTGTGTTCCCAAGATAACGTGCCGCTATACTGTACGTGTCTGATGCGTGCGAGTCAGGCACTAGTTCAAAAACCATTACGATGTCCAAGTAGTTCCGTTCCTACAAATTGCATTATCGGCTGGTAAAGATGAAGGACAAAAAAGAAAGGTATCTTGATGCTTATTGGACTACCTTGTAGACTGTGATTGTGTATATATCAGTGAGACTGGAAATTTCGAACATCAGGTCAGACAGCATGTCAATGATGTCAACGAGGTAAAGGTGTCTTCCAATGCCTTGGCAAAACACCCTGCCCCGCCGCGGTGGTGTAGTGGCTAAGGTACTCGGCTGCTGACTCGCAGGGCGCGGGTTCGAATCCCGGCTGCGGCGGCTGCATTTCCGATGGAGGCGGAAATGTTGTAGGCCCGTGTGCTCAGATTTGGGTGCACGTTAAGGAACCCCAGGTGGTCTAAATTTCCGGAGCCCTCCACTACGGCGTCTCTCATAATCATATAGTGGTTTTGGGACGTTAAACCTCACATATCAATCAATGGCAAAACACCCTGAAAATTTGAGCAATAAAATAGATTAGCATAACGGCATAAGCTTAGAAAAAAAAACTCTTCAGGACACCACTTGCAATCAATGCTGGTTTAAACAATGGATACACATAACACATTGAACCATTGATAACACATGGAACCTTCATTCTTATCTACACTCGCGGTTTTGAGTCACTTTTGAAGTCCTCATAAGCATATTTTCACTCCGTCTAGTTGTCACTTTGAACAAGACTCCCATCATGAGAGCTGAAATGTCTTATTTGTATTCCTTTTCGTGGTTGGTGTCATTAATTTATCATGTTCTCACCCTAACAGGCTTCAGTCAATATCTCAACTTCACCCATCTTTTTGAGTGGAATGTATACTACACTATGCATGGGATTAATTTCCTTTTGTTTATAACACGTTTTCTAGAGAGTAAATTGGTAAGGCAACTTGGTTGGAGCACTTCAGAGTATGAAAGAGTTTTATGGCACCCGAGGATTTTAGCAAAAAGCACTCCGGTAAAATCGGGAAAAATATCAGCCTGACGCGCTGGTGTAGCTTTGAGCAAATACAACATAATTATGTTTGTAATAATCAGGTTGTAATATATTGAAGTTCTGAAAAAGTAATGCTTCGTTCAGGATGCAATTAAGAAATGTGCGCTCTTTATTTTTCACATTTGCTCTCTTACAGAAACATTGGCCAGCCGTTCCTGTTGCGGCCACCAATGCAGCACATCTACTAATCATGGCGCCTATGAACATGAGGCCACCCACAGGAGCATTCAAGAGAAGGTATGAGCATATGACAACGCATTAAGATGTTTCATCAACTGCGAAAAGTGGCCGTCAGCACCAACAAAAGTGACAAATATTAACTTGTGATGCCATCATCGTGGCATCAGAAATAAGTTTCCCAAATTCGTTGTGTCATCACGACGTCACATGATGTCATTGCTTGTTCTAAGGTTGCCTATCCCGGAGGCATTTGCGAAACAACTGGGAGTGCAGAAAGCTGTTGGGAGTCGTGGCGGGTCAATACAATCGACTTAAAGGAAAAGGAAGATTTTCGTTATCTGTTGTTTTAAAGCAGCCGTGAAGGGGAATGAAGCTGTGCCCAGTTGTTATTTTCCTGATTCAGTAATGATTAGACATGCCGATTTCAAAACATTTCGATGCAATATTCAGTCAACCGTGTGCATCATCACACATTGCTGCACAACTTATGAAAGAGGAAATATCTTTATGGTGGCACAATCGAACCAGTATGGTACTACAAACCTCACTCAACTATAGCTCGGCAAACATGGCTGCGCTGCCATGTTTTGTTAACGGAGACTTCTCATAGGTCGACTTGAAGTGATGTCAGCAGTACAGTTGAGGCAAATGTGCGTGCTGGAGAATCAAAGTTGTCGACCTTTATTGTTGGATTACCGGTCCAGAAGCCTTTTGTGCCAAGGAAGTGCTTATTTTGAAATAAAATCATGTTTTAGTGGTCTGTATCAGGTAGCGCACTTTAATTTACCCGCCTCAAGAAGCGGAAAGTCTCACGTCACTGTTGCCGTGCACAACGTTGCCCGGCTTTTTACTGTACGGCTGCCGACACTACTAGCGAAACTAAAGCACGAGGAGCCACATCAGCAACAGCGGCCATCGATCAATTTCCTACAATAGGCTCCGAAATGGCAGACATGCTTTGGCTCCATTGGGCCCCGCTAGATGGCACGGCCTGTCTAGTTTAACCAGGAAAAAGTTGAATTTTCTAACCACTTGTGCTAGTCGCCATTGTAACTCCCGGTGGTTCTTTTTTCATGAGAAACAACTCAACTAGCAGCATTTTTTTACGTCCTTTGATACTTGGAAGGTTCTTTATTTAGTGAGCTAGTTTGATTACCAGTGATTAATTGTAGGCAGTTTGTCTGACGTCATAAGGACCATTTCACGAACGTCCTACTGCGGCGCATTTGTTCCCGTGCATTTACCTCAATTTCTCGGTAAGTAAGGCACTGCTGTTGATAATACTGTCGTTTTAGATGACATACATTGAGCTTTCACTATCCCGTGAATTGTTATTTGTTAATTAAGCGTGTTTGAGTTAATGAGATTTCACTGTATTGCACCAAAAACAAAAGGACAAAAGCATAATGGAGTGAGTTTAGACAAGTTAGATACAATTATAAAACTGACGAAAACAAATCCGATTCAACTTGCAAAAAGAAAGCTGTATGGTTCAAAAGTGTATTTTTTTTTGCAATTTCAGGCAAGGCCGTTGCAGTTCATGCAGCCATCGCTACACGCATCGCCACCGTCGCCACCACCACCATCGCCACCACTACCGTCGCCACCACCACTATGGCCGTGCTCGCAATTGGCTCCACAAGGGTGGTCAGCAACGCTGCCTTTGCCCCCGCTGCAGCACTTACTGCTACCAGAGCCTCCGTCGCCTTCTTCAGAGCAGCCACGGATGCAGGCATGCCCATTGATGCCACCGGTACCACACCCTGGAACCACTTCAAGTGGTTTTCAAGAACCTACCAGCCAGGTGTGTAGGTACTTTATAATTGAAATGGCTGTTTCTTTGTTGTTGTATTTTTCAGTCCAATTTAGGGGTTATATTGTCAGACTAGCCTCCTGTACCTTTTCAGTTTGTTTATTTAATCAGTATACATCTAGTCATTGTTAGTGGTATGCAGACAAGTATTTTAAAGTTGAGCAAATGCAGTGTGACCATCTGTCAATGTCGAATCGCACTGGTTGAGCAGGATAAAAATTTCTCGCCGGGTTCCCCTGGTCAATTCGGAGCAATTTCCCGCTTTCTACTGGCAGATTCGGAGCAAACCACTCCGCAATGGGGCTTCCATGTTGTTTCGATCTGGCAAAGGTAGATTTTTCTGGAACTCCGGCAATGCAGGGCTGTCATTTTTGGTACGATCGGGGAATGAGGTTGTCTTCAACGTTTTTTTAGGTGGTGTCTCATCACCCTATGGATTTCTTTACATTCTAAAAATGGCATCGTTTGACTTTGCTGAATGAACTGGCGGTTAAGTTTTGACAGTTGTAGCAGCAGCGACCACAAACCGTGTGTGGAAGTGATTTTTAAAAAAAAGTTGCCCGACCGGCTGTGCAGATGCCCGAAGATCATCGGCTACGTCGAAAAAGTTCAGGAGCCGGTTTAAGTGTCGTATGCATAAACAGCTTCTGGACACCTTATGCACAGCATTCATGTGTTCCAGTCGCAGATTTGGCTTGGTGTAAGACGTTTTTAGATACTGTCAGTTGGGTAAGCACGCGCTGTCGCAGCCGCGAGGACTGCCCCCTCTCGTATCCCGCGGAGGCGGCGCTGCTGTCGCTTTGAGATTGGTGAAGGAGCGTCGTCTGCTACCTCTGCATGTGAAACAGCAGGAAATTAGTTTCCAAATTGCGACAAGAGAGGAGAGGATGCGGCGGAAGGGCGACCTTGAAAACCAAAACGCATGGGAAGGAGGCAGGTTGGGTAGCTTGCTTGATAGGTCCGCGAAACTCGCACGTAGAAAAACTTGGAAAGAGTGCCTGCGCGCGCAGAAGTCAAAGCATGGCCGCCTGGATCAGTGCGCGGGGGTGTTCGAACAATCGGCGGCCGTGGTCAAAAAATCTTTTTGTTGCGCCGGCGAGTTTGCGTGGCCTCACAAACTTCGATATTTCGCTATTCGTCCCGCGCAAATTAACAGCCGTTTTCGTGCTTCCGCACGTGAGCGGAAGGCATGCCGTGTCGAGTGCGAAGCGAGCGAGAACAAGTTCTTAACACGAAACAAATCACAAATTATCAGAGTCGGTGGGGTAGCGTACGCCCGTGCACTAGACGCAGACTATCGGATACAGTCGGTGGCCGACGATGTTGGCAAATGGTCTGGTCACTCCAGGCCGGCGATGCCAACGACAGTACCAGCGATTAAAAACAGGGTAGATGGCCGACCGGTCTTCCAAAGATCGGTAGCAGTGTGAAAACGCAAGCCTCGACTGGCTCAGAGTAGCGGGGGACAAAGGACGGAAGGGTGCATAACAAAAAGCAGTCGGCACTTTCCTTTCTTCAAGGGTTGGGGAGCAGCAACTAGAGGGTCGCGGAGGCAGGGTCAGCGTTTAACAATAAGAATGTATGGGCACCTCGCCGACGCCTGATCGGTGGTCGAAATTGGTTTCCCGGGAAGTCGGGAGACCGCTGACTGTTCGCTGTAACCGATCAGCGGCGCTCGGAGAAGTTCGTTGTAAGTGTGATTTTGTGCCATTGAACCAATATATATTTTCATGGTCACGCGGATATTGTTTGTTTGAAGCGAAAGTTCGTTTTAAGTGGGGCCGTTATATGTGGACTCGACTGTACTACTTAGTGATAAATAAGGTTCAGGCCTGTACCTAAGAAATGTATGATTATTTATGTATGTTTTGACCATTACCTGCAAGACTTTTCATGGAATAGCAGCTGTTCAGTCCTTGAGAACTGCAGGGTAATTGGGGGGTTTGAAGAAGTACTGCTGATCAGAAGTGTTTTCCTCATAGGCATAGCCACTTAGACAGCCCGGCGCACTGAAGGTCAGCATATTTACTGTGTTAAACTGCTAATTCACTCAAGCTTGCTTGATTGTTGTGTACCATGTTAAATACGATTTGCGTGACAGAAATCTAACCTTCAAGCTCCCGCCTCTGTAATCCGAGCAAGCAAACTAAAAGGAAAAAACAAATTCAACGCTGCCGCAGGAAGCCAGCGGTAGCTCGTTCTCAAAGCTAAGTTAGCACCGCGCCCCTCTGAGTGTGTACGAGTCGGTGCCGCCTCCATAGCGGGCTTTCCCAACTGACAGTATCTAAAAACGGTGTAAGCCGTGTGATCGCTTCAAGATTTGGGCGGCTGTTCCGGATCTCTCAGTCGAATTCAACATAATAATAGTTGTACACGTAGCTTTACTCATCATAAAACCTAAATGTAAATTTACAAAGATTTTTAAGCTAATTGCATATGCTTTTTGCATTAACAAACATTCTTGACAAGCTAGTTTTAGGAGATGAAATTCTTTAAGTGTGTGGAGTAAGTTCTATAATTTAATCACTGTAAAGTAGGATGTCATTCTGCCATAGCTAATGTGTGTTTAGGTGTAAGGAAGTTGTAAATATGGGCAAACTTTGCACAATTATTATTTTTGAACATTTTATAATAACTCAGTTCATACAAAAGCTAGTTTGAATACCGTTATGATTAAGTGATAACAAGTCAGATGCAAGTAGTATGAAGTTAGCCTAGACAAGGCGAGCAGCATTAGAGTAAAAAGAACTGTTGGTAATTATGTGTATGTCCCGATTCTGAATGTTCTCTATTGGCAAAAGATTATTGTTATGCATATTTGCCCATGTAATAATGCCATAGGTGATTTGACTGTTTACTGAAAGCAGGGCAACAATAAGGCATCACAGGAGATAAATAAAGAAGATTTAATGAGGGCTCGTACACCGAAGGCAGTTTTTTGTTTAGCATAAGCAATATGATGGGTAAACTTCACGTTAGGATCAAGTTTTTGGCCTAGAAAACACACCAAATTGCAGGAATTAAATTATGGTAGTCAATTAAAAGGGAGCTTTGTTTTAGAAACTGTATAAACCATGAACTTAGTTTTAAGTGGGATTAAAATTAGGTTGTTTTAATAACACAATGTAGAACACTGATCAGTTCGTTGTGCAGCTCAGTGATTGGGCTTTTAACAATTTATGGAGCGTAAGCTGGAAAAACAATAGGGATAAAAGTTTGAGCAGCTGTTATTGGGCTGAACAAAGCACAAATTAGGGCTGATAGTTATGTTGTGTCTGAAAAGAAAAAAAAAGTTTTGGAAATGAAGGTTAACTTTCATACCTGGAAGGCATGCTGGCATATGTGTGCCTAATATTTTTTATAGCTGATCGACTTTTCCTTTGTTGTGCCTTTTAGGGTTTGGGTGCCAGTGATGAACTGCCGCTGTTTTCCCAGGTGGACAATCAAGTAAGTAGCGTTACAGTAGCTTGAATAGTTAGGCTAGTTGGTATTCGTTCATCTTTTAACTGAATAAGGGCACGTACAGACACTTGAACACCGCTTATGTTGTGTGCATTTTCTTCTTCTAGTGTCCGTCTCTCTGTGCATGCCCTTATTCAGTTGAACGATGAAGTAGCTCTACTTTTTGTAAATTTATGTTTATTCAGTGCAATACTTTCACTACTGGGTTGAATACATAGTTATGCAACTTGCATTGCACTTTCACTTCTTTGTATGTTTATGCTTAGTTTATTCATCTACTACGGATAATTTTGTAAATTATGAACTGGTGAATTTAGAGGTTCAGGAGGTTATTTCACGAATGACCAGTGCAATCTTCTGCATTACCCTTTTTTGGAATGTCACGGCATTCAGTACAAGCTTCATAAATATTTTTGTGACAAGTCCTAATGTCAGGAAAAAGGGGAATGAATTGAGGCTCTGTCTTTTTGATTCCTGAGTTCCTCATTATCGGACTTGACAAAAGAAATTTTATCTGCAATGTGCCAGAGCACTTTTTGTCAGTGCCAGCTCTAAGTGCCTTTTAGGGTGTCTGGTGGTCTCTTATACTTTAGTAGAATATTATGGACTCAACATTACTAACAACTGTAACACACTGTAAGATATGTTACATAATTGTTAATTTAACTTTCACACATATCTAGAGCACTCAAAATTGTAAATATGCTTCTTTTTAAAATGTCTTACAGCTTCTCACAAACTGTTCAGGTGAGACTTAAAGACAGCAATGATGTATGTGATTTGCTTTTCATTGATCATTGAAACGAATGCTTTTTTGTTTCACTGGAGCCACACTAGTGTAAAATTTCTAAATAGAGATTGTGTTGATGTTTTTCTAACTTACTATGCCACCCCACTTTTTGCCCAGTCTTTTAGTATCTAAAAAGTATTGATTCTCCTTGTGAAGGCTGGTGTAGTATTGCCATTAATGAGCACTATATGTACCTGTAGACTTACATACATTCTGTTAACTGTACTTGCTTTAGAAAAAGAAGATTTGGATAACGTTTAGTATGCCAGTGTTATACAAGATGGCATGCAGTTGCAGAAGTGAATTGTAAGATTCATCAGAACTATTTGAATACATACGAGCAAAACTATACTCGCACGACCAAAGAGCGCCACTAACATTTTCAAAAACAAGATATCTCTTGAGTCTTTTATTATGATTCCACATTTTTTGCGCACATTCACCTAGGAAACGGCATATTCCTGGAGCAGGAAAAATGGGCATGGCTGCTTTTGCGTCCGAGAGACAGATTGTTCTGTAAGGAGGCGACCAAGCTTCTGTGGGGTGTGAGTGCCCTCCACAACAGGAGCATCACAGGAGCCCCTTGTCGGCGCTACGTGCGCTCGGAAAACCAGGCACCACCCAGGAGGGCACTCACGCCTAAGAAATTGGAGGCAGTCGGAAGGAAGTGTTTCATCCTTAGTATATTTTGCTGAATTTAGGGACAATAAATTTTATCAACTGTATGAACTAGTAAGTCCCCAATTGCTTCATATTCCTGCTCATTTTTACAGATGCCTTCAGCAAGTACATTGCTGGGAGACCAAGTGAAGTGGCACCAATTGAGAGGCTAAGAAAAATGAACAGCTTCATTGCTGAGATGTTGAACGACCTAAATAAATGAGTCGTCAAAACATTACTCTAGCCTGATCGTGTTTATTTGATATCATTGCAGCATACCTACATTACACTGTTTATTTTACTGTGTGCTTCATGAACTAACATGCCTTTCTTAATACATTCTTTTACTGCATGTTAATTTTGACCCAAATAGCTGATCCAACCCATATCACCTGCATAACCTGTAATACCCATACATTCGTTACACTAATACCACCTATATGAGCCCTACCATCTGTATGACCCGCACCACTCGCATGACCCGTACCACCCGCATGACCCGTACCACCCGCATGACCCGTACCACCCGTATGACCCATGACACCTGTATGCCCCGTATCTAATAACATCGTATGTGCAGGTCCTGTACATATAAGAATTTTCAGTAGGGTTGCAAAGGGCGCTCATCGGCGTAACGGTCAAACGCTGTCCGCGTCCTGCAGGAACGCGGGAGGCGTCTGTGTGTGCCGCAGGAAACGCACATCAGCGTCGCTGGGACACACAGCCTGCGTCTGAGAAGATGCACGTGCACGGAAAAGCGCGTCGCGTGTGCGGTCGGAGCTCTCTCTCTGGACTTCGCTGGCCCGCTCGTCTCGAGTGTGCTCTGGGCCCTTGTGATGGAAAGGCGCGTCTGTATGCTCTCGTTGCAGTGTACTTCTCTTGCAAATATGTAAATTAAACGTATCTTCTACTTGTTCGCAAGGCGCGTCGCAAGAGTCGTCCTTCGCCGGATCCTGGGTGGCAGCCTCGATCTCTTCCCCGGGCATATCAACTGGTTGGCAGTGGCGGGATCGGTTCGTGTTTTTTCCTGGTACCGATGCTGGCGAGTGCTCACTTTCCGTAGAGATTCTGCCAGGTGTTTTGGATAGATGGTGATGTTTATCCAAAAGGATAGATTAGTTGCTGCTTTGTGAAGGATTGGTTTTATTAGAGGTACCTTCACGGCAGTTTGAGCAACGGAAGTCTGCACGAGGTGACCGTGGACTTGAACAAATTGAGGAAGCCGCATTTAGTGCTGTTGTGCCAGGAGCTGGGGATTGAGGTGGCGACTATACATAGAAAGCCACTTTTAATACAGGTGGTTAAGGATTCTGGCGCGGATGCGGAGGAGCTCGCCGAGTGCTGGGAGCTAATATAGGAGAGGATGAAAAGGGCACATGAAGTCTAAGAGCGAGAACGCCTTATGTTTGAAAGATAAACCGGCAGGCGCAAAGAAGAAGCGGAAAGCCATAAAGGGAGCTTGAGCGCTTGCGGCTTCAGCTTAAGATTGCAGAGGCAAAAGGCGCTAGTGATCTGGAACAGAAAAAACGAGGCAATGAGACGGAAAATTCAGCCATCCGTAAGTGTAGTTGCAAACAGCTCTCAGGAATGCGGGAAAGATTTTTCGAAGGGAAGCAACTGCATTGTTCCTCAGTGTGTTAACCAGTCCGCCGGTCTAGAGGGTGAGAATAAAGATGATTTGGTCGAAAATAACTTAGACCGCGCGACTGAGGCAGCTGACGCAAGGTGTGCGAGAGTTGACGAGCTGGAGATGCAATCGGGAGGCTCGGAAACGAGACGCAAGAAGCGGCGCAGACGCAAGAGACGTCGAAGTGCCGCGAGCGAGACAAAAGGCACTACGCGTGTTGAAGAAAGCTCGCAAAACTTGAGCGTAGCAGGCAAATTTAGGCATTTCGCATCGGCGTCCAAGTTGCCCTGCATGAGTCCGAGCCACCGGACAACAAGTAAAACAACAGCGGGTTTTTCGCAAATGCAATCAAGTGGAAGGCGCCAGCGGAAAAAGGGCAGGCCACAGCGTGCATCCTTGCGACCGAATTCGCGGCAGAGATTCAGAGCTTTCCGCGGACAAGAGTGTCGAAGGTGTCCTGAGAAAAAGGCCACAATAGCTAAACACCGCACGGGAGTGAACTCAAAGAGGACATCACCACTCTTTCCCGTGCGTTTCTCGAATTTCCTCCGCCGGGCTGACCAAAGCCCGCAGAAATCGCGAATGAGGCGTGACTGTGCCGTTCAGCTGGAAGCACGTGCACGTAGTTGCCTCGGGCGTTCTCGAAATCCGCCAAGACCTCGACCGCCACGTGTACGATTTAAGTGAGGGACAGCTGTAAGCTGGAGAGTCAGACACAGGGGTTTTATTAGTAGCATGCATGTTTGTTTAATTTTGATTTTACAGTAGTATGCCGGTGTCATCTCCACGGTTAGATTCTTTAGCTACAGATTTCACTTCTCGTATTTGTAAGCATTGTAAGCGTTTTCAGTTAAGTTGATATGCGGAAGCAGTGACCTGCATCAGTCTTCCGACTGCCTGAAATTAGTTTTTCTTCGAGTTCACTAGGTCAACGCCTCAGTGTAGTCTTCTGTTGGGCAATAAACAATGAAAGGATGTTCGCCCTAACTTGAACCTGGCGAATCTTAGGAGGGCTGAGTGCTCGCACTGTCAGTGTTCTGTTTGTGTGCACCCTCCCCCACTAAAGTCGGGCAGCTACTGGCCCAGAAAAAAAAGAGCCTCTGAGGACGGCGACCTTCATTTAGCGCCGTGTGACATGACCGACTATGGTGAAACCCGGCAACGGCGACTGGGACTCGGCGGATGTTGACGGTCCCATGCTGTGACCAAGTGGGCGCTGCGCGCCGAGTGTGGTTGCCATTCCAAGGTGTGCGGGTGTGCGGTGGATCGTGGCGACGCTGAAATGCGCTTGTTGGGCAATCTGCTTTGTGCTGTGCTATGCAAAGGTGTGCTGTGCTGTGTAGTGTGTGTATGGGTAGTGGTTGACAATCCGGGAAACACCAAGAAGAAGCACAACGGCCACTTCAGGGAGCAGCGCCACTGCAGCCCTTCCGTGACCTCTTCGGGCGGCGGACGGGCTGTTATGACCGGTACAGCAAGGAAGTGGCTTGCAAGGGACGCTCATCGGCGTAACGGTCAAACGCTGTCCGCGTCCTGCAGGAACGCGGGAGGCGTCTGTGTGCGCCGCAGGAAACGCACATAAGCGTCGCTGGGACACACAGCCTGCGTCTGAGAAGATGCACGTGCACGGACGAGGGGTATCAAAAGCGCGTCGCGTGAGCGGTCGGAGCTCCCTCTCTGGGCTTCGCTGGCCCGCTCGTCTCGAGTGCGCTCTGGGCCCTTCTGATAGAAAGGCGCGTCTGTACGCTCTCGTGGCAATGTACATCTCTTGCAAATATGTAAATTAAACGCATCTTCTACTTGTTCGTGAGACGCGTCGCAAGAGTCGTCCTTCGCCGGATCCAGGGTGGCGGCCTCAACCCCTCCCCGGGCATATCAATATATATATATATATATATATATATATATATATATATATATATATAATAAAGACATCTAAGAGACAGTAATGCCAAGGAATGTACAGCAGAAGTTATTAGAACCATTGGAATGTAAATAAGAAGAAAGAAAGTGGGTGGAAAAATAACCATTCGTGAGCAGGAATCGAACCTACGACCTTCGAATAACGCGCTTGAAGCTCTAACCACTGAGCTATCACAGCGGCCTTCCCTCCATCCAATTTGTTTTGTTTATATGTGAAAATAGAAGTAGGAGTGTCAGTCAGCGCCATCTAAAAGCCAAGCGACGAGTGTGAAACACTCTTTTATGCGCATGTCTGGCGGTACGTAGCACGTGAACTTAACGAGCGGGCAGCTGATTAATAGTCCCTCATATACAACCTAATGACACCAAGTCTGCCAGTACGAGACCCTCGTTAATGAATAAGGGAAAGAGGTGTATACCTAAGCGCTCGTTTTTCCGTGTTTTGACACAATATTATTGAGATATAACGGACAGTAATGCCAATGAATGTACAGGAGAATTTATTAAAACTAATGGAATGTAAATAAGTAGAAAGAAAAGTGGGTGAAAAAACAACCAGCCGTGAGCAGGAATCGAACCTACGACCTTCGAATAACACGTTCGATGCTCTAACCACTGAGCTATCACAGCGGCATTCCTCCATCCACTTTTTTTGGGTTTATATGTGAATTTATAAGTAGGATTGTCAGTCAGCGCCATCTATAAGCCAAGCGACGAGCGTGAAACACTCTTCTATGCGCATGTCTGGCGTCTCATAGCACGTGAACTTACTACGAGCGGGCAGCTGATTAATAGTCCCTCGTATACAACCTAACGACACCAAGTGTGCCAGTACGAGACCCTCGTTAATGAATAAGGGAAAGAACTGTATACCTAAGGGCTCGTTTTTCCGTGTTTTGACAAAATAATAATGAGATATAACAGACAGTAATGCCAAGAGAGAGAGAGAAAACTTTATTAAAAAGTCAGTCAATTGTTCAGGCATGGCCCGTCGCCCCTAGCTGTAGGCCGTAATCCCTTGGTACGCGGCAGCAGCAAGGGCTTGACTGATGATGTCGCGCAGGACGTTGGGATTTGGGCTGCAGAGCAGGGCCTCCCAGGATTCTACAGTGTCAGAACCATCGTTTTGGCTTGGACATGTCCACACCATGTGGACCAAATTCGCTACCTCATCACAAAATTTACACTGGGACTGGAAAACTGCGGGTTGCCACTTGCTGTAAAGTGCAGGGTGTGGAAAAACCCCGGTCTGTAACTTTCGCCACAAAACCTCGTTTTTCTTACTTAGTGAGTGGTCCGCTCTCGAGTATACTTGCCGATTCAGCCTGTAGTGTGCGACAATTTCATGGTATGTGCGCATATACTCGCTTTTTTGTTCGGTAACTTGGTAGGTTCCATGGGTCGACCGGTAGGTGAGGCCTCGGGCGATGGAATGAGCCTCCTCGTTCCCTCTAAGTCCTTGGTGAGCTGGAGCCCAGACAAGCAGAACCTGCTCTTTGGGTACTCCTACCATGTTTAATATACAGACGGCAGTCTCCATCACCCTTCCCGATTCATAATTTCTCACAGCGTTTTTGGAGTCGCTGAAGACCACTCTGACCCTCGTTCGGCTGATTGCCAAAGCTATGGCCACTTCCTCGGCCTCTACAGTCTCCACAACGACTGTACAGCCCGCAATCAGGCCACCATCTTCCCTGACTGCCACTGCCGTGTGTGCCGCTTTGCTTTCATATTCCGCAGCGTCTGTATATGCGACGTC